ACGAGTCAGAACTCAGTAACATACGTACAATGCCGATTCATGAATTCCGCAAAAAGCCAGCATGTGCCGGCTTGTCGTATACGTCGCTGTGTACTGCCGCAAATTCACAATACCAGCTTTGTACTCCTGTGGTTTAGTAGCATTTTTATTTTTGACCGGAATTTTTTTTTATTCACCCGCGCGCACTAGGTCGGGGTCTTCAGAGGATGTCATCCATAGAATTCAGTCGGCGTGGCCTAATGTCTTACCGGCGCCACTTCGCGTAACATCCCGGCGCTTCCGTCTCCGGGATCGCCCGCTAAACGGTCCCGTCTATCAAACTCCTGACGAGAAACTTCTATTACAGGCCAACAACGCAGCCAGACGCTGGGAGAGGAACGCGTTTCTCATGTAAACTAGACCAGACTGTAGAAAATGCTACGGTGAAATATTATTCCACAGTCAATGACAGGATTGGCGTGGGGTCGTGTGGCGTTGCTGCAGCGTGCTCGACTCGGAACCAAGAGGTCCCGGGTTCGAATCCTGACATGCCACCGATCTTGTGCCCTTGGGAAAGGCACTTAACACGACCAAGGGCACAAGATTGGTGGCCTGTCAGGACTTGAACCCGGTACCTCTAGGTTCCGAGTCGAGCAATCTGCCGCTACGCCACACGACCTCACTGTACTTAGCTTGAGCATAAACATACATACGTACAGTAAAAGTCGTCCATTCATTCATTCATTACGTACATTTACCCAGGGCCACTCCGAACAGCAGTGGTAAGTCACTGATGAGTGCCACCTGGTAAAAGAATACAGAAATAAATGAATAAATGAATACATTGACACCCGTTCCTTGTTTCTGCCCGCAGTGTGTGAGGAAGGGTCGTACGGGACGGGCTGTTCCCAGTCCTGTCACTGTCGTCATGGAAACAGCGTCTGCGACAAGTACTCCGGAGCATGCGCAGGAGGGTGTGCGGCAGGATGGCAGGGGCCGTCATGTCAGCAAGGTCTGCTTCTGTCATCAACAAAAATAATCTCAATCGAAATGAAAATCTTTCCTAAGTTTGCTTTATTGATTATGATTCTCTACCGTTTATTCCTACAGCACCATATCATTTGCCTTATGAATATCGGCTACTGCTTTAACTACGAGTAAAATGTTGAAAACGTTTACCAGCTGTCCAAACGAAGGCAACACGACATTCAGCACCAAGGACAGACCCCCCGTGTCAGTTTGCCATGGAGTTCTTACAATTTTCGCTAGATGGCGCTGCTACAGACTGTCCCGATCAGGTCAACCCACAAACTCGAGTCACCCGACGAGTCCATTTTGGCTAGCCTCTACCAGGCTTCGGGAGGCGGCTCCAAAGAGTAGAAACTGGCCAAATAGAGAGATGACATGCCGGGGGAGTTGGTCCGCTAGAAAGTAAATTTGAAAAGTGCGGCAAACTGTATACTCTCTAGTGGACTAAATCCTCCGGAACGTTGTCTATCTATTTGGCCAATTTCTGTTCTTTCCAGCCGTCTACTGACGCCTGGTAGGGGCTACATTTTCCTAGCCTCCACCAGGCCTTTCTAGGGGAATACGGATCGTAGAATATCAATTCGGCAAAAAGACAGTAAAATTGACCAAGGGAGTCCGGCCGCGGGGAGGTAGTTTCTTTCCCTCCGAACTGCGCGGCCAGTCAAACCTACAAGGCAGCCAAACTCCCCTGATAAATATTCTCCTATATATAGCCAGCGTAGTTAGTCTGGTGGAGACTTACATTTGCTAGCCTCTACCAGGCACCGCGGATCGCTAGAAAAATACTAGAAATTGGCCGAAATAAAGGGATAGTATACCAGAGAAGATCCAGGGCCATAAAAGCTCCAATTTGCGACCCACAGATTGGAGCTTCTATGGCCCTGGATCTTCTCTGGTATACTATCCCTTTATTTCGGCCAATTTCTACTATTTTTCCAGCGATCCGCGGTGCCTGGTAGAGGCTAAACATTTGCCCCTTCGCCACTCATGAATATTCCCGCCCCGTGTAGAGTGCGCTGACGGTCGGTACGGGGAGTTCTGTAAGCGGCAGTGTCACTGCGCCGCCGGAGAGCCGGCATGCCACAAGCAGACCGGCGCCTGCAGTACCGGCTGCGCCGCTGGGTGGCGAGGCGTGGACTGCCAGAAAGGTGAGAACCATGGTCTATGCATCCTACTCTCCAAGCAGAGGTGTCGGCTTCGGCTTGTTTGTGCCGTATTTTAGGCGTTTTTATTAGGTTTTCTTTGTTGAACTGGTACCATGGTCTGTGCATTTTACTCTCCAAGCAGAGGTTTGGGTTGTGGGCTTATTTTTAACCATTTTTCTCTCCTTTGAACCAGTCTGGTATATTTTTTCTTCAGGTGGAAAATGTTTACTGTCCTGCTAATTTGACACTGTCTTGAAGTCACCAAAAAGATCTGCTTAAAGATTATGATACTCTTAACTTAGACCCATTTAAATGAGTTTCTCTTAACACACATTCTTAATGCTTTTGTCAATGGGATCCTTATGTAGAGGGGACCACTTCTAGCAAGTTCTACGTATTTGACTGTTTCTGGAAGATTGCATTGAAGTACATTTTGTACCTGCTTTCATTTGAAGAACAAAACATTGTCTTTGAATGCGAACGATTTTCGGTTGTTTTCCAGTGTGCGATGACAAAACGTTTGGCCCCGGTTGTGAGCAGCAGTGCCACTGTAAGGGTGACGTGCAGTGTGACAGGAAGTCAGGACTGTGCCCGGCCGGATGTGCGTCAGGATGGTACGGCCTGAGCTGTCAGGACACTGATCCACCAGGTAAGTAAAGCCATACTGGTTGTATGAATGACATACCCTGGGCATCTCAAAACTGATGCAAGTATGGGGAAAAAGTTGCCTTTGTTATGGAATCTAAGTGGTCAAGAAGGTTGAAGAAATGACTGAACACATAGAGCTTTACTTGTGTTCTTTTACATCTTCTTTGACTTGGAACACTTGGCGAATGTTGAATGGCAGATTTCTCTTCATACATAATTTATGTGTATGTGTCAAGCCACAGAGTATTTGCAAAGAAAAATGGGTATAACATACTGAATTTTTCCAACGACACAGTCTCTCAATTATCTAACCTTGACAAGATACCATCACTGAACCCTCTAGCTCTCTTCCCAGTCCCTTTTTATCCTGTAGAGCCTAACCAATCAGCTATTAGCTTAGATTTTGGTATATTGATAACTGTCAGTTGAAGTGGAGCCTAACCAATCAGCTATCAGCTTAGATTTTATTGAAGTGGAGCCTAACCAATCAGCTAATGCCTTAGATTGTAACAGTGTACTGATACCACCGTTTGATGTAGAGCCTAACCAAGCTGCCATCAGCATATACTGTAGTAGTGCATTTTAGTGAACGTGACTATTTGAAGTAGACCCCCCTCCCGCAATCTCCCATCTGCTCTTCCCTTCTCTCCCCTCCCCCTGACGGCTATGACAGGGACGGCAGCTAGAAAAGAAAGTTTCCCCGTGCCGTCTGTAGACTGCGAGGTTGGGACGTTCGGGGAAAGGTGCGAGCTGCCATGCCGCTGCCGGGGTGGGGAGGCGTGTGACCAGAGGACTGGGGTGTGTCCGTCTGGGTGTGGGGATGGATGGACAGGAACGTCATGCCAGCAAGGTAAACAAAACAAAACAAAACTGCGAGCTATTTCCCGAGAGGAAATGCTGGTCTCCAAGCAGATTCCTTTGGGGGCAAGCTTAAGGCTCTATCAAATTGGCCACCAGTTACAATTGGCAATTATTCTTCCTATGTTGGTTTGATAGACACTATATACATGTACATATACTAGTGAGTGAGATTAATATGTGGAACAGCAAATTTACTTTGAGTAGCGAAATCAGACTATCAGTTTACAATTCTTTTACTTGCCTTACATGTTTTGTAACTGAACTTAACGATTTCCAATCTTCCTGCAGTGTAGCAATACTGATAAATGATAGATAAGTCTGGTAAATGGCTACTTTAGGTGATAAACGTTGCCAGATGAGTGTAGATTGCCTGTTGCTAGTGTACATTTCCCCACCTTCCCACAGCGTGCAAGGATGGTACGTTTGGCCCCGACTGTAAGTACCAGTGCCACTGTGACCAGGGCGCGCCGTGTGACAAGCGGTACGGCATCTGCAAGCGGGGCTGCGCGCCGGGGTGGAGGGGCATCGCCTGCAGCAGGGGTGAGTCAAATCAGGACTAAGAAGCTCCTACTACCTGTATGCATTATGGAATCGTTGGCCAATAATTTTGAGACTAATAGTAATTGTCTGTGATTGGGTTATTCATCAATTTAGTGCTGACATTCATGGCCATGGAGGAAGTTACAGTTTGAGTCAGAGACCAGTTAAACTTTTCCACAGAGGTTGCAGCTATATAATGTACGTTTTTCCACGGAGATAGAGGTAAGCGGAGTCAGAACTAAGAAAACTGCATTAAAAGGTTGATTTACCAATGGTGATAAATGCCAGATAATTATGGTAATGGCTGCTTCAGGCGATAAATAGCACCATTGTAGATTTCCTGTGTGTATTAACGTTTACCTTAGGTCTCCCTTTGGCTACATATTGGGCAGTTTGGATTAACCACTATTTACAAATCCCACTTTTTGTGTAGTGAATCTAATCCACGTGAATCTAACCCCAGGTGTTATCTTAACTATTATGTACCAGGTAAGTCTGACAGATATGTTTGGAAATGGTTGGATGAATTGACATGTAAATGTGTTGCTCAATGTGTCTGGATGTGAAACACAGTACAGGCACAGAGTTTGGTTGGTTATTTGTTTGATGTTTGTTTGTGTGTGTGTTGTGCAGTGTGTCCAGATGGGAGGTACAGTACAGGGTGCAGCTCGGAGATTGTTTGTTTGTTTGTCTGATGTTTGTTTGTTTGTTTGTGTGTTGCCCAGTTTGTCCAGACGGGAAGTATGGTGCAGGCTGCAGTTCTGAGTGCCACTGCCTGGGCAGACCAGAGGACTGTGACAAGGTGACCGGGGAGTGTAGCGGCGGCTGTTCTGCAGGGTGGGAGGGACCGGGGTGTCAGAGAGGTTTGTTTGTTTGAGCTTTTGTTTGTTCATAAAATAACAGGGAAGTCGCAGGGAACACTTTTCCTTGAGTGTCAGAGAAGTCAGCGCCACAGATGCATGAAACAGTCTAGCCTTGATGTAAGCCCCTCTAGCTGCAGTACTTACTCTTCGAAAGTCTTTGGTGCTTCCTTGGCAAAAAGACATGGCAATCACTTAGTATATTTGACAAGATTTTCAAAATCAAAGATGTTCAAACCTGAATGCAGTATAGGTTATCTAAGTCTGTACAAACTCATGGAGATCTATCGAATAGATAAAGAATAAAGAATGCCCCAACCTGAATAGTGACTGCAGTGCTCAGTGCAGGCCCAGTCTTTTTGGCAGGGAAGCAAACTGAAGTAAAAAAGGTTAAAATCCAGGTATAGAATGGTCATCTTGAACAATATTGGAATGATACACAACTGCCCTCATCACATCGAATCTAAATTTGGACTTGCTGAATCAGATATCATTTAGTTAAACCAAGTGTTATGACGTAATTACCTGGAATCTTGGAGGTACCAATTTTACTGTTAATTCCGTGCGATTTGTTCTTTCTTTTTCTTGACAGAATGTACGGAGGGAAAGTTCGGCCCAGGCTGTAAGGACGTGTGCCACTGCCGACATGACGAGCCATGTGACATGTACACTGGGAAGTGTGAACAGGGATGTGCACCAGGGTGGGCAGGGGAAGACTGCCAAACAGGTGTGTATGTGGAGGACTCATGTTGTATTCAAAACCCTGCTTTATCCAGAACCATGATCAGGCATAGTTCTGGATAGTTCAAGTGTATCCAGGACCGTGCCGTGTGACATGTACATGTACACTGGGAAGTGTGAGAAGGGCTGTGCTCCAGGGTGGGCAGGGGAAGACTGCCAAACAGGTGAGGAGTCTCAAGCCCCATTGTATCCAGAAGGAAGAAAGGAACTGTCTATCTAGTTGTATGCCTGAATGGTTTAGGGTTAGATTCAGGCATGATTCTGGATAGTCTAAGAGTGTGAGAAGGGCTGTGCGCCGGGGTGGGCGGGGAAGACTGCCAAACAGGTGGGGGACTCAGGCCCATATTGTATCCAAAGCCATGGTGTGGGACTCCAGAATGATGCTTTGTGTCCAGAATAGTGTTTTATCCGGAACCATTCACAGGCACTGTTATGGACTGTCCATACGTATTCAGAAGGGTGCTTTATCCAGAACCTTGCTCAGGCTAGGTGCTGGATAGTCCATGCGTATCTAGAACCAGACAACTCTACATGACACACACTCTAAATCAAGAAACAAGCCTAACTTAACCCATTCATGCATAGGCAGGGTCCTGGATAAAATAGGGGACTTGTGCCCCGTATAGAATATAGAACGAGTCACTGTAAGAATAATGATTGTGCTTCATTTTGGACAGTGCTTATTTATGGGGAGTTTGTATGTATCTTGTTCAAAACTGCGGGGATCGGAAGCGAGTGGGCAGAGATTGAATTTCAGTTGATTGACAGGGTTGTGGCCCTCCTTCCCTGAGGTAAAAAATCACTGATGCGTTGACATGCCTATCACGTAATACTCGTTTATTCGTTTATTTCGATACCCTTTAGTCAATGAGGACTAATCTTCCAGGATTCAAAAACATATAAAACAAATGAACATACTGACAACACAATAAAAGAGAATGAACATACATAATCATCACAAATTATATACAGGTTAAACAATAACGTAACTTGATATATACAATTTAACTTATGTACAACTGGTATACTATGTCTTATCTCCCCACAGCGTGTCCAGTGGGTAAGTTTGGGGAGGACTGTCTGTACGACTGCCACTGTCTGGACGGGAACACTTTCTGTGACAGGGTCAACGGGACATGTCCTCGGGGATGCCAACCTGGATGGCAGGGGTACTTGTTTATCTTATTTATTTAGCTAATTCATTGATTTATAATACATGTAATTTATTCATCTATAGCTATTTACCACACATTTGTGGAATGATTGACAAAAAAGCTGAAGATTATCTCTTCAAGATGTCAAACCCGAGACCAGACTGTAAGGTTTGAACCACTCACACGAGGAAGGACCCCCTACTACAATGTATATTTGATAAGTGTGGTGGGATCTTTACCATGCTCGAGGTGTGGCTGTCCTTAGACATGGGACCTTTTACATCCTATTTGAAAGGACGTTCCTAACCAAAGCTAGGTACTCATTTTCACCTGAGTGGAGTAAGGAAGTACATGTAAAGTGCTTTCCAAAGGGAAAAACACTAGGGATTTGAACACAGAGTTACCTTTAGATTCAACAAGCAAACAACCCTAACCACAATACTACCTTAACATCTTCAGGTACAACTGTCAGCAGAAATGTCCCCTGGGCACCTTTGGGCATGAGTGTAAGGGAACGTGCCACTGTGACCAAGGCCTGTGTGACAGGATCACGGGTGCGTGCGCCAGCGGGTGTGCGGAGGGGTGGATGGGCAGCGCCTGCCAAAGGGGTAGGTGAACGGTTCAACATTCAACACAAAGTTGTTGCTAATGTCGTCCAAGTTGGGTCATGCACACTTGCCATCATTTTTTACTAACATTACAATTTTGAGGAGTGTTGTTAGTTATCTATGCCTTTGAATAAATTGGACAAGAATAAGCAAAAGATTTCCACATACATTACTGCATAAAATTTCCACGTTATTTGCAGTTCCTAGAAAAAAAAGTATTACACTGTACCTTCCTTGCAACAGAACAGAGACATTTTTACATGTATTTAGTACTACCAATTTCCAAATTAGACAATGCGTTATGATGTACGAGTTAACCAGGTTCTTCTGTACCCCAGCTTGCCCACCGGGAAGATTTGGTACCAGTTGTAAGGGGACCTGCCACTGTGCCGGGACGTGTGACATCCGGACTGGGGCTTGTGATGGAGAATGCGCTCTGGGCTGGGAAGGACCCATCTGCCAAAAACGTGACCAACAGTTTTATTTTCAGTTGTCATTTCGTTCATGATTACTTACTACTTCTAAGTTGTAAGTTGTTGATTTGCAAATTCTTAAAGGTTATGCATTGATTTCATTTTTCCCAGGTACAACAACAACCGATTATCAAAATTACGAGATGCACAATTTTGTATGTTTGAAAAGTAGGGCCCGGTTATATATGTCGTGCAATCATTGTACGGTTGTCATATGATTTGAAAATGATGGCATTTGGGGACAGTCGCACACATGTCCTGCAAAATTTACTTGTCTTGTTAAGTTGTTACTGAAAAAGCTGTCTTAGATCATTGTCAGCAGTGGTTTCTGTCACAACCTGTTTGAAAATTCTGCATCATCACAATCGAATGACAACCTAAGACAAATGTAACCGGGCAGTTAGATAGAATCCTTTGTTTCCCATCTATCATGTTGAGCAATGTTTTATTTTCTGCAGCATGTGATGAGGGTAAATACGGCCTGAACTGCAGCCAGATGTGTCTGTGTGCTAATAACGATGTGGCCTGCGATCGTGTGACCGGCCCGACCAAGGACTGTGTCTGCAGAGAAGGCTACTTTGGCAGGGACTGTTCCGAAAAAGGTAGACATTCTAGTTCAACTTTGAGAAAAGGTTAACATTTTAGTGAAAACAGTCTTATACAAGAATGACAGTCTCTGCCACATAGGACAAATTTGTAAGCTAACTCAGGTCTGTTGCATAGTACTATGTTCTGTATCTCTATCATCTGTATAGCCAGAATAACCTGGTGACCCTTTGGTATAACACACCAGCTTTGCTTTTTCTTGCAGGCACCCGGCGCCTGTTTAAAGCTAATGACAATGCCCCTACTGTACTTCGGGTGACAGCGAGTTACACTCTGCGAAAGAATGAGCACGCACTATAATTTTATATGTACAATGTATAAGGCACACTCCTGAACCTTTGCCAAAATCATCCCTTTTACAGCTGAAGGCCCCTACATCACGTCCTTCACCTACACCAGGGTAAACCTGGGACAGCCCACAAACTTCTCCTGCAGTGCCAGGGGACACCCTCCCCCCGGCCAGGGAGACATTAGGGTGGTTCTACAGAACCAGGCTCCTGGGCTTCCCGTGGTCGCAACGTACGTGGGAGACAATGGCACCAGAACAAACTTCTTTCAGGTAAGACTCCAGGCCCTACTTTGTTCTTATTCGGCATATAATAAGTAGTCACATTTGTTGTCATAGAATTTTAAAGTCAGCTGTGGCAGACTCTACTACCAAAAAGGAGCTGAATTTTACAGGTCATATTATGCTTGACTGTCCCAAAATGCCCTCAGCTCAGATTGCGATCAAATGATGATTGTATAACTTATGTAGCCAGGCCCATAGCGAGACATTTCCTTTCATTTAACAACATTCTGTATGTGGTTTCCTTTTTTCAAAACCAATGTAGTTCCATTACACATTTTCATTAAAATTTTCTGTGTAAAACATCATCTGATTCAGATTCTACATTTTAAGAGCATGGGGAATGCATTGTAAGCTCCATGACTGACCCAGTGTTTCTACTTGCAGGCTGTAGTGCAGAGAGGGGAGGTGTTTGAGTGCGTGGTGAAGACTCAAGTCGGGGAGACTAGGAAGAACCTTACGGCTGATGTATTTGGTATGTAATTTCCGTTACCCAACAAAATTTGTCTGTATTAAATCTGTACACCAATGAAGGTTAGACATCCAGGTAAAGAGATACACAAGAAAACTGTAGTTACTCAAGCAAACGTTTCAACCTGCTACATTTCGCCAAAGACTATTCGTAGTTGAACAGGTATCAAATATGTACAGTTATTGTAACGTTATTATTTCAGTTCTGTAGCTGAGGAAAACTTATTTTCCAGTGATTGTTACTGTGTTTTTTTTCCAGAGCCGCCATATCTGAAGTTCCAGCCCTTGGTGATCCCTGGTATCATGACGTTCAGTCTGCGGTGGCGTGCCTGGGTGGAGGGGTTTGACCACGGAGACGGTCCCGTGACGTCCTACTCCGTTTGGTACCGTCCCGATGGTGAGGTAGAATGGACAGTCCAGCCGGTCAAGTTTCATCCAGGACAGTTCAATGAGGAGTTCAACGAAACTATAGAAGGTGCGTTGATGAAGGTTAGACATCCTGGTAAAAATACTCAAAGGAAATTCAAACTCTACTACTGGGTAAATCAGGGAGATAGTTTCTGGACATTTCGAGTTACATCCACTTGACATCCTCTTCTTCAGCATTACTGATATACGTTGTCTTTAATGTACTGGAGAGCTCTACATACACAAAGTCCTCCATTCTGGAAGGTGTGCATTTTATGTCTGATTGAGTGGACCAAGTATATACCCAGTGTGTTATATGTATGGTTCATTGTACGGAGTGCACAGTGTATCTTGTGTGTTCAGTTTAACTTTAGTTGTATACTAGATAAAGAGACAATGATCTTACCAAAATGTTGGTGGCGTATTGCCCATGGAAGGTTTAGCTCCAGGGAGGACCTATGACATAGCTGTGATGCTGTCCAGAGAGGGACCAGGTGGGCAGGAGAAGGCACCGCTGAATGTTGTACAACAGGAAACAAGATGCGGGGGTGAGTAGAAGTAAAATGACTTTATCATTATGTGAGACTCAGCAATGTAAGTCTGGTTACCAAATGTCACTACAGTTAAAATGTCGACGACTAAGCTTGGCTAGTCATGTAGTACGCAGCGAAGAGCCAGCCAGTAGGCTTCTACTCTGGAACCCTGATACAAAGAGAAGAGTTGGACGTCCAAACATAACACTTAAGAAACGTATTGAAACTGGAACAGGCTTGGAGGGCCAGGAACTTATCTCTGTGATGAATGACAAACAGTTTTGGCGAGCTAACTTTGTATGCTCCACCTCTACGGAGGATGATGGATGATGATGATGAAGTCTGGTTGCTTTTGGCATTTGATCAGGGTAAGGATAAGGATGTTTATTGTTTATTTTTTTATATTTTTTTCTAGCACCCCTGGAGCCACCAAAGGAGGTCAGAGTTCAGATACATGGGCCGCGGCACATCATAGTCAACTGGGACGTAAGTACATCTAGTCTTAACGACTTTTCAATTATAGATATGCTTGTTCTGAGTTGTGGGTTTGTGTTTCTGTTTGTAATGTCTACTTGCTTCAGTAAGTTGCATGGGTTGGGAGGCAATTTTAACAATTGATTGATAGGGAGGTCATGCCTGTAGGTGACCCAACATTGCTTGGCGGGAGTACAGTATATGGTGGGGGGGGGATGAAAAGGGATTCTTGAAGTAGTGCAATACCCGACTGACTTACATCATACAATCCCCTTTACATTTCCAATACAGTTCACAAAAAAAAACAATACCACTTTTATTGCAGAGCTCAGTCACAAAAACCAAAAAATACTTCAGAATCCTGTAAGTCTAAAATCTCTGAATTTCTGTCTCTGACTGTACTTTATTTGCGAGGTTTGTCAAGATAAACATGATTTATCTCCAAGGTTCCTGAAGTGGAGGTGATCCGATGCTGGTATTATGGGTTCCGTGTGCACCACAAGAAGGTGAACGAGCTGCCAGTTTCAGTCTCGCCAAACCTGACCAGCACCACCAGACAGTACAACCTGTTCGTCTCACCTGCCGCAACTTACCTGGTCAAGGTGGAGCTCTGGAACCTGGTGGGATCTGTGGAGTCGCCTTACTACGAAGTCAAGACACCTGACGATGGTATGGGCTTCAAACTACCATGATCCCTATTTCCTTATGGAATCTTTTGCGATAAATTTTTGTGCAGTTCATATTGTGATGAGTAAGAGTATATGGAAAAACATAGTACACTTCCTGCCATTAATCTGATCATGTCAAAGATTTTCAACAGAATTCATAATGCTTTCCAGACAACAATTAATCTACAGTCACCAGCAATTTGGGGTTTTCTATGACTGTTTCTGTGCTGTACGTCGACATAGAGTTGTGAAGAAAAGGTTGCAACATATTAGATATTTTAAAAAATGATTTAGAAATACTGTGCCTGTTTCTCCATTTCTTCTCAAATCCATGGCGTACAAAGATATTGCCTTGGAAAAAAATGTAGGTGCATCAAACAATGTATGTGATTGGGGATTGAGATGAGAAGCACAGTGCATGAACATTTACATTTCTATCTTACGCCCTTTGATCACAGTTCCCGGCCCGGTACGAGGGTTCAAGGTCCTGCGCTTCAGCAGTACGGAGGTGGAGGTGAGGTGGGAGGAGCCAACGGAGAAGAACGGACTCCTGGTCGGCTACCAGGTCACGCAGAAACTCAAGCGGCGTCACCGACGGAGCCCAGGGAACACCTGCGTCATCCCTGTACCAGGTATAACATACAGTTTCATAAGAAAATCAGCCTTGCAGCATGAGGTACATGTACAACAAGCTGAATTACACTGATTTGTACAATCAGATGGCAGAAAAATCTTTACATACATACAGAGAAAACGCAAGCCTAATTATATGCACTGGTCCAGTGACCAGATAGACTGCTTCAAAATAAGAACTGAACCTGAAATAAGACCTGAATTTTCAGGCACTTGAGACCTATTAAGGGCTCCCAGCCCCGAGAATAGACAACACTTAATAAGCTCTTGTTGACAAACTGAATACCTTTTTTTAATGAGAAAGTTCCAAAGAGCAAGTTGTATAGTATTAAATTGAGGGTAGTGGACCGAGTTGACCGAGTTGACCGAGTTGCCCGAGTTGACCAAGTTGACCAGGGTAGTGGTCCGAGTTGACCAGGGTAGTTGACCGAGTTGACCGAGTTGACCAAGTTGACCAGGGTAGTGGACCGAATTGACCAGGGTAGTTGACCGAGTTGATCGAGTTGACCGAGTTGACCAGGGAGTGGACCGAGTGGACCGAGTTGACCGAGTTGACCGAGTTGACCGAGTTGACCAGGGTAGTGGACCGAGTTGATCGAGTTGACCGAGTTGACCAGGGTAGTGGACCGAGTTGACCGAGTTGACCAGGGTAGTGGACCGAGTTGACCGAGTTGACCAGGGTAGTGGACCGAGTTGACCGAGTTGACCGAGTTGATCGAGTTGACCGCGAGTTGACCGAGTTGACCGAGTTGACCAGAGTTGACCGAGTTGACCGAGTTGACCAGGGTAGTGGACCGAGTTGACCGAGTTGACCAGGGTAGTGGACCGAGTTGACCGAGTTGACCGAGTTGACCAGGGTAGTGGACCGAGTTGACCGAGTTGACCGAGTTGACCGAGTTGACCAGGGTAGTGGACCGAGTTGACCGAGTTGACCGAGTTGACCAGGGTAGTGGACCGAGTTGACCGAGTTGGCCAGGGTAGTGGACCGAGTTGACCGAGTTGACCGAGTTGACCAGGGTAGTGGACCGAGTTGACCGAGTTGATCGAGTTGACCGAGTTGATCGAGTTGACCGAGTTGACCGAGTTGACCAGGGTAGTGGACCGAGTTGACCGAGTTGACCGAGTTGACCGAGTTGACCAGGGTAGTGGACCGAGTTGATCGAGTTGACCGAGTTGACCAGGGTAGTGGACCGAGTTGACCGAGTTGACCAGGGTAGTGGACCGAGTTGACCGAGTTGACCTGAGTACTTGTTTAATGCCACAAATCAGGCAAAAGGTTGTCTGCGAGTCTGTTGTCTAACATGATTCTATACTGTGTATACTAGTATCACTCACTCACTCACTATAATTATAATATTATGTTCCGAATAAACCATTCATTATCATCATTCATTAGGCAACGCGACCGAGACCACAGCAGTCGCTCCCAACGTGACCAGCTTCATGTTTGCAGACCTGCTGCCCCACTCCCTGTACAGGCTGTCAGTACAGGCCATCACCAGGGCAGGGCCGGGCCAGGAGGTCGCCATAGAGCAGGCTACTGCTCAAGGAGGTACAGTTCATCAATTTTATTTTCCCTGCAAGATGAAAGAAACTTTGAAATTCACATGTTCCCATTTATTTCCTCTTCTTTTTACCAATTCAAGGAAGACAGATGCAAAATTCTCCATTTGATTCTGACAGCTCTCAAGGAGATAAGGTTCATCAAACTTTCCCTATTGGCTCTTCCTTTCACCAACTTTGACAAACAACAAAGAAGAGAGATGTATTTGGTATGACATCTAATCTCAGAGAAACCTATATCGACTTGATTTGATTAGCAATACGTCTGGTATGGAGGTGTTGTTTTGGGTGAGCTTGTCTCTCTGTCCTAATCTTGCATCGTTGCATGGTGGGTGGGAGGTGATTTTGACAGGTGATTGACTGACAAGGAGGTCATCTGAAGATTATAAGGGTATAATGCCTGATTATAAATTACATCCACACAGTCCCACACTTCCAGAGATCTGTGAACTTGTAAGTCACGAAAAACAAAAAATTCTTCTGGGAAGTCAGAAACCTGCGATTTCTTGTCTATTGTATAAAAGCCAAAGAAGTAAAAGTTATGACTTTCTTCATGTAATTCTGGCAGCTCCGAGTGGTTCGATAGAGAACCTGCAGGTGGTGAGTTTCCAGCCGGCTGCCATGCAGATCAGTTGGGACCCTCCAGCTTGTGAGCAACGCAATGGCAATATCACACAGTACGAGGTAAGATGATGCTGTATGTGTATCTGTATACTATTAGGTATATTCAGCGTAGCACACCAGCTTTACAGGCACGTGGTGTGGCTGCAGCTAGCTATATTAAGCCGAATGAACTGTTACACACAATCTTAAGTTTGTACATTTAACAGTGCAGGAGTTGTTTAAAGCTTTCTAGTGATGATGCCCCAACTGTGCTTGGTGGCAACGAGTTCCACTCTAGGATAGTTCTAAATACAAGACATTAGTACCATGCTACATTCAGGACGGGGGGTAGCCTGTATTGTGTATCATGATCATTATGATATCAGCTGTCTTTTAAACTGTCATATATTGTTACTGGTAACATTGCTGGTTATGAGTTGTCAGAAATTGTCGGCAGTCATAGTGAATATTATGCATTACCTGGTATATACATTCTAGAGGTTCAGAATCTCAGATTTCTTGTTGTTTGAGTATGGAGCTTTGAATGGAAGGCCTGATATAAATGGTACATTAAGGCTTTCTATAATCATATATGATTATTTACCAAGTCGCATGTTTCCTCATAGGTTAACAGTGAGGAGGTGAATTCCACATCTCCCCTGCCAGGCTCGGAGACGGCTAACGTATCCACCACGGATATATGGTTGTACGACCTGGTGCCGTATACGACATATCAGCTGCGGGTACGTGCGTACACCAGGGCCGGGCCTGGACCATGGTCTGCACCGCTGCTGCAGCGAACCAGGGAGTACCGTAAGTTATGTTTACTTCGCATAAGGTGAACAATATATATTGTTTTTGCTCTGCTAAATCTTCTTCTCCAATCACATAAGGTCAATGACCTGTCCCAGATGTCTGTCACCACAGTAACTGGTGCTGTAGCAGACACGTGGTATAACAGTATGTGTTTGAGTAAAAATAAGCAGAACAGTAAGATGGAACATGAACCTGTAAAATACTGTACATATATATAGCATCTTCCCTGTCATGACCATGTGGAAGTTAGAGTCATTAGTGATCTATACTAGTTCAAGATCACTTTCATCCTCACTAATCAAGTTGATTAAGAAGTTAGTAAAATTGCTTTATATATCCCACCTCCTTTTTCCCTACAGGCCCAGAGGCACCGCGAGATTTCCAGGTGGACTCTGTTTCCCCGACCTCCATCTCCCTGTCCTGGCGTGAACCCTGGCCTCCGGGTGGTGTCATCACGCACTACGAGATCGTTTTCTGGAAAACCATGGATGAGGTATGTCAAAGTGAAAACTTGAGCCAATACAAGGAAGTTCTCTCCCCTAAAACTTTTGACCAAAGACTGGTCTTCCTCAGTAGACTGACCCAGTGAGGCTTGTCACGTGGCTTCTTTGAAGTGTGACGTCAACACTGGGTCAAAGGTATTGGCCACCGTCGTGGTTGAGTGAAGGGTGATGGGCCCTGATGTAAATAGCCTCTTTCACCCCTTTCAGGAAATAGTCTTGTTCAGTGTCCAATATTCTTGGTGTCCGCTGTCCAGTGAATGGATGGATGATGTATGTCGATGAAGGACATTTGGGTAATGAGATACATGGAAAACTATAATTCAAGCAACTGGATAGATTTTAAAAATGGTCAACTACAAAAGGAGTAGAGTGGATGCTGCTTGAAACTGTCTCAGTTTTCGAAATCCATCCAGTTGCTAGAGTACCAATTTTTTCTTCATGGATGACCTAGATCACAAAGTCTTCCACACATAATAATGATTATGTTTAATGCTTCAGCAGCATATTTGCAGAAACCACTTGGGAATGGAAGTATTGTTTTGAGTGGCTGAGTTTATGGCCTGTCAATATGTTTGTTCCAATTGCTTTTGTTTTTGGTTGGGAATGAAGAACTTTACTATAATAATTCTAATGCATTCCCAATGTCATTAAATTACATTGATTTTGATATAATGTTGTATTGCAACAATACAATACACGTGGGACACAGGCAGCAGTTGCTGCTGTTGTGTCCCACACATAGAATTCTGTTAAACATTAAATGTCTTGTAATCAATCTTTCACACTTCTTCGTTCGTCTACCAGCATGGCGTGCCTTCGACCCTAAACACGAGGACGGTGTTGGCCAATGACACGTACGGACCGGATGACATCATTCAGTACGAAATCGACGGCCTGTCAACCGATGTCAACTACACAGTCAATGTAGGTACTATATCGTAAAAACTATTATGTTCCCATGGACAAAATGTAATCTATGAAATATTGTTATGAATGAAGTATATAGTAGAGGGGATTCATTCCTCAAGCTACCGACATCTTGCACATGCAGTCGTCCCTCTGTAAGACATCTGGAGCCGCATAGTTCCTGTTTAGAACTTTTATTCAGCCTGTCACACGACCGGTTTTGCCTGTGTGGCTTCTTCAAGTGTATAGATGCTAGTGACATGAAAGAACTTATAAAATTGTTACATCTGTCTCATTGACAATGACTTGGTTGCCTCAATTTAAAAAGAAACAGAATTTCAATGGCTCTAGGCAACTGATAACATTGGTGTGCAGATTTTCATAGTGAACCTTTCTTAGTGAATGTATAGATCTAGAGTGTAGTGTTTTGGTAAATGTTGTTGTAGCTAAGACTCTTCTCAAATTGTCTACTACAGAATGGTCCGTAATTAGTGTTACATGCTTTTTCCTTAGATCAAGGCATTTAACAGTGTTGGAATGAGCCCCAATGCACGAGTGACAGCATTCACTGATGAAAGTGGTAGGTGATGATATTTCTAACTTTTAAGTTCTTTATCATAACGTACAAAGATATACATCAATAAGGGTTAAACAACCAGGCAGTGAGATACAACAGATATTTTATTAACTGTTTAACTCAAACAACTGGTACAGTCACTGTACCATTTTTGTTTCTCAAATCTATCCAATTGCTTGACTAACAACTTTTAAGCAAAGATATTTTTTGACTGCATGGGTATATGGTTTAAAAAATCATGGATTTTACCAAAAAAGATGTCACTTTTTTTACCTGCTCCGTGTCTACTCAGCTCCAGGCCCTGTGATGAACCTGACAGCTGTGGAAGTGACCACGAACTCCATCGTTGTACGCTGGGAAAAGCCCCTCCTCAACCCTGACAAAGTCTCAGCTTACGAAGTCACGTACCAAAGCAAGACGAAGGGGGCCTGTCCACTCTCTGTTTCCTTCGTCACCATATATAGAATACCAAATGCAAGGTACGTTCCCTCTCCTCCTTTGTAAAGATTCTGTTCTGAGATATTGTTTTGGGTGTGTTTGTGTCTGCTTGGGTGCCAGACCCTGGTGTATCAGTTGGGGAGAACCCTTGTCTGCTACCACAAGTTGCTGCAAACCCTTCTCTGCTACCACAAGTTGCTGCCCAAGCCCTTTATCTATCGGCAAGGAAATAATTCAGAGCCAGGGTGCCAACTAGGGCCAGGCGTATGGCTTCTCTGGCCCAAGGGGTTCTCACTCACTCATATATACGGTAGGGTCTGGAACCTGTTTATATTTGCTTGTGTCCGTAGGTTGATTTGCCATAACATTAAAGCAATCTTATAGGTTTAAACAGTACTGTTAATTAAACGTAAAGTCAAATACAGCTGACCATACTTTCTTTTCTCCTATAGTGTTACTGAGTACAGGATGTCAGGACTGATGCCGTACACACTGTATGGCATATCTGTGCGGTCCAGGACAAAAGCTGGCTTCAGTGAAGTCACCGAGATCGAAACCAGGACAGGAGAAACTGGTAAGCACCAAGCAACTGATTCCTGCAAGAAGGATTCAAAACATACGAAAGATTATATTGAATCTCTTGATTTACAGTCCTTTACCTCCATGAACGAAGATGTTGTTTGGGTTGGGCTTGTCTGTGGGCATGTGTGTATGCTTGTCCAGCATAGCAGATTGCAGGGAGACTGGTTACTAGATATTGGCAGGGAAGCTAAGACTAAAGGTGACCCAGCACAGCACTTGGAGGAATTCAAGTTATAACTCTGTTTGATACCAGGTTAAAAACTGTTACTGTAACAATCTCCTCCACATTTCACACATTTGCCCAAATTTCAAAGCTTTCCCAGATGCCCAGAATCTAAAATGTCTGATTTCTTCTAATCATTTTATATGCAAGATACCTGTCATTTACCAGCAAGATAAAAGACAATTTCCTGAGTGTGCCCTTTTTTCCAGCTCCAACGGGGCCACCAACAAACATCCTACACAGCCAAGTGACACCGACATCAGTAGTCTTTACCTTCCTACCACCACTGTGTGACCAGAAAAACGGGGAAATCACCATGTACGAGTACGTGTTGGTTCGTCAGAATGCTACCTCGATCTCCGAGTGGCTGCTGGGAAACACCTCCGCAACAACCTACGCACAGAAGTTCACCGGCCTGATTCCGTACACTGATTACTACTTCCGAGTCCGAGGCTTCACTAATGCGGGACCCGGGCCATTCTCAGATGCTGTGAGCATACGGACAGCAGAGGACAGTGAGTGTTATGGTCACCAATGTTCAATCTTTTAAGCTTAACTTTCAATTCAGCATTTTGGTCTTCTAAAAACAATTCAGCATTTTGGTCTTCTAATGGTACAGAGTAAGAATGACATTCATCTTTCATATACAGGGGCAGAGTAGTTAGGCTGTAGACACGAGGCTGAGTGGTCGTGGATTTAATCCGTGGTGTTCCTGGCTAGACAGTGTGTCCTTTGGAGAGACATTTTACACGACTTTCCTTACTCCACCCAGGTGTAATATGTGTGCCTGACTTTGGTTGGGGAAAGGAGAGGGATGGGCACTGCCTTCCAATATTATGTCCTAGACACAGTGGATCAACAACCCACTGCACAATCATGTATATTGCCTCAATATTGCCTCAATATTAGTGACCATGGTAAACTCATTCACCTGTAATTCACAGCATGTCAGCCCTAGAGCATCTTCTATGGCTATTTGTGAATGACAGTCTCTTCCACTGCCAATCTGCCCCAATGGTCATAGAACATCCTCTACCTTTAGCCCTACTAGTGGTCTTACCAAACAGCCCATGGGACTACCTTTACTTTACCTTTACCCTTATGGTCTACCAAATACATTGTAGGTCATGGAAGTCAATATTTTTAACTTTCTTTCTCATTTCTAGAGCCCCCCGCTCCACAAGACCTGCGCGTTGCCTTCACCTCAACCACGACTGCCACCATCGCGTGGAACCCCCCCTCCCCACCACATGGTATCATCCTGCGCTACGCCATAGAGGTACAGAAGGAGGGCGAGTTGCTCAACACCTCAAAGATCATCCGGGCTGCAGACAGGAAGAACAGGCTGGTTATACGGGACCTGGCACCGTATACAAACTATACCATTCGGGTAGGCTGTTCATCAACGTTGTTAACCAAGAATTAATGTGTTCAAAAACTTGTACTTCCCAAGAACTATATCATAGAGTGGAACTCGTTGCCCCCAAGCACAGTAGGGGCATCCCCTCTGACTAGAAAGCTTTAAACAACTCCTGCAATTAAATGATTGCGCAAAGATTGGGTGTAGCATGTGTAATGTAGCCAGCTACTGCCTGCGAAGCTTTTCTGCAAAGCTGAAGGGAAGTTATACCGGCTGTATTGATACAGATGATAGTTGTTCAGATAATTGTAACGTTAGAATGGCCAAGGTGGCTAGAATGAAAGTTCATCTGAGCTGGTTAATGACATTCCAGTGAAACCAATGGTAATAAGTTGGAGAACAGTTAACCTTTTCCACAACCTAAATAGTTGGCATGAATAAATAGGAAAGTACGGTCATGTTTGTAGCTTACACAGTTGCACCGTTCTACCAAAACAGGTACGAGCCGTCACTGCAGCTGGGAAGGGGCCATTCAGCACGCCAGTCACTGCACAAACTGATGAGGGAGGTAAGATGAACAAACTTATTATGTTGTATCTCTGTCTTTTAAAAACTATATCATCAAAGAATATTTCATCAGTTTTTGTTGAATTCGTTGAATTTAGGTAACAACCTGACAGTGAATGCAATTTTTTTCCCTCTTCACAAAGTCACGTGTCAATGATGAGGTCGTGAGTTTTTGCAGAGAGGAGCTAAAATAGGTCTGGTAACTACATCATATTATGTACAAGGATAGCAATTGCATTGTTCCATTCAAAAACAAAGGCCTACTAAATTATATTTTGCATTCTATTAGTTCCTGGCATGCCCCATGCCCTGACTGTGACAACAACAAAGAACAGCATCGTGGTGCAATGGAAGCCTCCTCTACAGCCTAACGGGGTCATACAGGGGTACAAGGTAAGAACACACAAAACTGCAACCTTCCAGATGTTATTTAGTCTTTGCATTCTTAGTGTTTTTTTTTTATTTATGATTAAAGAAATTCATGTGAAAGCCACCGTGTCAACTGTGACCCTCACTCAGGTACAGTATAGGGACCGACACGGTCATCCTCCTCGGAAAATCTGTATCTGTATATCTGTACATGAATCTGTATAAATACATGTATGTATGTATCTGTACATGAATCTGTATCTGATTGCAAACAAAGATATCAAGTGATTGCCAAGTAAAGAATGATGAACTGCTGCAATGGCCAAGTGTGTAGATTGCTTACCTTGCATTCAGTTAGTTGTAGGTCGTTGGAACAAAAGTTTTACCTTTAATCATACCACTACCAGTGGAGTAGCAATTGCACTACTGTGAGGTCTATTGAACCATGGATGTGTTATAACCTATGCACCAAGTGGTGCATGAATGACTTTAAATAATGATGAGGAAACTTATCAGAAACTGAGTTACAAGTAATTATACAACCTCTTCAACTGACAGAGATGGTTAGGGTTAGAATACAAGGTTCCGCAGCATTAGCCATTTCTTAGACTCCAAGAACGGGGTAATATATGATTTGTGGTATATATATCATATATATCTGTTATGCACAAATATTACTCAGATCTCTCTTGCCCTGACAGGTCAGTTGCAAGGGGCTTGCCTCTCATGACCCAGACTACGACCCTTCTAAGGATGTGTACCCTGTAGAGAAGCTGTCTACAGAGTTTCACCACGTGTTTGAGGGGCTGTATTCCGGCACTGACTACACCGTGACTATAAGAGCAAGGACGAAGAAGGGTTACGGAGACACAGCTTCCCAAAACTGCAGTACTACTATAGCAGGTAGGCTTACCATACTAAGTTAACAAAATTCTGTCAGGTCATATATGTCTTGTCTGCCTGAAAAATGCATCTAAGACCTGCTCTTCACTAGATGTTGATCACTGAAAAATCTGTAGAGTGATCCTTAAATTTTTGGTCGCTCAGTAGTCACAATCTCTAGTAAAAAGCCCAAAAGGGGGTGCAAAAAAGATCTTCAATGAAACTTCATCCAATAAAATGTAATGTTATATCTAAACTGTACATACATTGGATGCTGCTGCTCTAGAGATCTCCCAAAATGGAAGATACATGTACATGTAGCCCTAAGGGAAATTAATGGAGGTTATAACAGCCATTCTAATGCAACATAACATGAATTACTTCTAAACTAGTTTTACCGAAGAAGATTATGATTCATATCGATATTTATTTTCCTACCCTGGAACTCAGAACCACCAACCCCAGAGGCACCACTCCCAGTGGGAGAGGCAAAGGACAACACTGTCTCTCTGGAACTCAAACCTGTACTGCCCAAAAATGGACCAATCAGGTATAACAATGTAAAATATTATAGATAGCTGACAGAGTTTACTTATGGATATGGAAGTATATAATTGTTTTGATTGGCTGCATTGTTAGTTTGTGTGTTTTGTGTCCAGAGATGGTAGGTAGACAGCATGTGTGAGGGAGGGAAGATTGACAGGCAGAATGACAGGTCAGACAGAGGAGATAGAGTGAACTTAAAGGTCACAGAATCTGGCCGGGAGCCAGCAAAAACTACACCTACATGTAGTTCTGGTAAAAATACAAAAGGATAGCCTCATTGATCGTTCTAATAAATTAGAAAATAGAAGAAATTCATCCAGTAGACTAAGTATAGAGTTTGATTCGTTATTGAATATTGTTCACCTTCTTTAAACTTTGCAGAAGTCTAAAAATTCCTATTCCTTGTTGAAGATTGTTCAGTCTTAATAAGCATCAGGGACTCACATTTGGGGTACAATGTAGGATGATATGTAATAGATTTAGCATAATTATAATGTTTAATGTAGTCATAACAAAATTCTTCTTGTGTTTTCCTCTCTAGTGCGTACTACGTGGTTGTCCAGAGCAACAACGAGTTGAGGTTCCTTGACAACCAGAACGACATGCTGGACTACCACCAGGCCTCCCACCAGGGAAAACCCTTCTACATCACGGCCATGTTCACTCCTGATCAGGTCAGGGAGAGTTAAGAGACTCTTTCTACTCAACCAAGTCACATCAGTATGTGTAGATGTAAATATGGCAAAGGCCACCGTGTCAACTGTGACCCTCACTCAGATGTAGGGACTGACACGGTCATTGTACTTTGAAAATCTGTATCTGTATATCTGTACAATGTCATGAATCTGTATCTGTACATGAATCTGTACCTGATTACAAATAAAGATCACCAATCATTGCCATAGAAATATTGTACATTTTGGAGTGCATCTATAGCAGCGACTACTGTGTGAACCAGTCAAAATTGCCGTGAGGAAGGTGACAGAAGGTCACGGAAACATCGCCTGAATAAAAGACTTGGTTGTGTAGAAAGAGTCTCTTTACTCAGTGTCTTACCAACCTGATGAAACTATTCATGTACAGGTCCAGGAGAAGAAGATGTTTGTTGTCGGGGACAACAAGACCTACGGCGGATACTGGAACGCGCCACTGGTGGAGGGGGAGAAGTACTCTTTCATATATGGAGTGGCGAGCGAACTGGACGGGGTATGTTTACTTAGTAGAAAGTTTGGCTCTTGACTAACATACTTTGCAGCCTTGATTTTATAAATTTTAAAGTGATCTGATGCTATTTTCCTAAATTTAGCACAACCAAATGTACAGCAACCCATCATATACACTTTAATAACTGTAAGAAGACAACAATTTTTCATGATTTTGTATCAGATTCTTTAGATTCTAGTATATTTCTCTTTTTTACAGGAAACGCTTATGTCCTTCTCAGAGACCCAACGTCCCATAATAGGTGCAGTACAATGCTATTCATTACTTTTGATTCTTGTGTGATGTTACTGGTAGAAGCCTTACTGATGGATTCCAGTTTGGAACAGAATGTGTACCGATATACTGGACAACCATGTTGCAATAGTTGAAAACGAATACAAAACATATTATAGTGAAAAGTTGAACTTTATTCCAACACAACAGTTTACAGAGAAATCAAATTTTCAGCTTCATCAGGATAATTAATGACCAATCACAATCACGTGAACGTAAACTGTGTGTTGGAATAAAGTTAAACTTTTTACTATGATTATTACCAACACAGATGAACTTTCATGATACAAAACATATTGATGCATTCACGTAATCATTTTGGGGAATCTTTCACAGTTTCCCAAAATCCCGGTGCTGATGGCCCAACAGTACAGAAGGCTGCCGACAACTCTTCCTTGATGATTGCCATCTTTGTGGCTGTCCTGCTTCTTCTCATACTCTTCTTAATGATCCTACTCGCTGTGTATGTGTCAAGGTAAGTAAAAGAAACTTTCATAGTTATACTGTTAAAGTGCCAAAAGCAGTTACTCAAGCAACTGGATATAACTTTGGAAGTAGCTTGAGTAACTGCTTTTTGGCGTATCATATTACCTGGATGTCTAACCTTCATCGACGTATACTGTTAAAGCTTTGTTCCAACTCAATTTACAGTGAGTTCCATTCTTGCATTGGAACAAAGCTTGAACTCTATAACTATGGATTCTACCAACACAGATGAGCTTTCATTTGAAAAGAAATGTTCATTTAGCCTCTGTAGCTCAAAGGGCAAAAATGATTGAAAAAGGATTGGATAAAAGGTCTAAATGGGAACTATGCATCTTCAGATGTATTGCTAAAGGATGACTGCAGTGTGGAAGATGTCACTTAGTTTGAGGAATAAATCCCCTCTATGTTCATGTTAGAAATGTGACAGCATAATTACCATTATATAGCTTTTAGACAGTCTAGACATGATGCAAATGCTTTATGGAATTTCTTGCTTGCCCTTGTAACTATATGTCAGTGGGTTATATGAATAGTTAACCCACTTTGGGAAGTGAAGTTAGGATGGAAACAACTATAAGCTTTTCAGCACCATGGAAAGAGCCACTTTACACCATATACATGGAAAATGCATAACCATTGCTATATTTAAGCCTTCTTTTCTCATGATAAAGCATTGCAAAGCT